ACCATTTTATAGAAACTTCACGGATATGTCTGATCTATATCTGAACACACAACTACCAAGCTTCGTGAATCTGACTTTATTACTTTTCCAAATATTTAAAATTAGCTTTTGGAGTTGTATGGCAGGTACCCGAACCTGCCAAGCAATTCCACTAAAACTTCGCTAATATATCTGATCTATAATTGGACACACAATTGCCAAGTTTCATGAATCTAACTTTATTATTTTTTCAAATATTTAAAATAAGCTTTTAGACTTGTATGGGAGCCACTCGAACCTGTCAAGCAATTCCACCAAAACTTCAGAAATATCTTTGACCTATAATTGGACACACAACTGCCAAGTTTCATGAATCTGTCTTTATTATTTTTCCAAATATTTAAAATTAGCTTTTGGAGTTGTATGGCAGGTACCCGAACCTGCCAAGCAATTCCACTAAAACTTCGCTAATATATCTGATCTATAATCGGACACACAACTGCCAAGTTTCATGAATCTAACTTTTTTATTTTTTCAAATATTTAAAGTAAGCTTTTGGACTTGTATGGGAGCTACTCGAACCTGTCAAGCAATTCCACCAAAACTTCAGAAATATCTTTGACCCATAATTGGACAAACAACTGCCACGTTTCATGAATATGACTTTATTATTTTGCCGAATATAAAAAATTTGCTTTTGGAGTTGTATGGCAGCCATCCGAACCGGTACAGCTATCTCATTAAAATTTTTAGAGCATATGTAGAATATAATTGTACCTTTATTAGTTTTAGAAATAATTAAAATAAACTCTTTGAGTTGTATGGCAGCTACCCGAGCCCGTTGTCCGAATTGGTCCAATAACAATAGGGTTCGTCCTTGGCAAAAAAGAAGCAACTTGTGAAGGTTTGGTGTCGATTGCATTATTCGTTTTTGAGTTATCGTGCGATCGGACGGACGGACGGACATTTCTAAATCAACGCAGAATTTTACGCTGAGCAAGAATATATATATATGTCCATACCGCAGATGGCTCCTTCAAGTAGTTACAAACTCCATACCAAAGTTAATATACCCTTCACGAAGTGCAGGGTATAAAAAGTCCAATGCAAATTCGTCACAACTAAAAAAATTCAGAAAAGGAATTTGGCATTCCAAAATTTTAAAGTAACGACGGATTCAAAGTTTATTAGAATGCTATTAGACAAGCAGAAACGGAAAAATGAAATAATATGCAAGTTTTTCCATGGTCTAATGATGTGAGAAACATAAAGGTATGAGCAGTTTCGGAAAAAGGTAATACTTATAATAAAATAAAAAATCCAATTATTAGTAAAAATAATAAAAAAAATTTAAGTATTAAGTTTAAAAGCAAAAAGAAAAATAAATTAGAAAAAACTAAAAATCGATACTAACTCAAACAAAATTAAAAGTAATGAAGATACCAAACTTGATTGACCGCATAATATAAATACGCATTCACCTTCATCGTCTTCTTTTTCAAAACGGCAATTTCAAGTTCTTACAGATGATAATTTTTGTTTTGTGAATTCGAAATGTGACTCTGCCACTTCTTAACTGTTACACTTACTTTTTACATAATCAAAAAAATACTTCATTTCCGAAATTCATGGCGTTACCTATATCTTCACTGCCACTGAATGGTTCCTCTCACTTTTTGATGCCTAATAACATTTCTAGGGGGTTTTGTAGCCCATTGTTTTCGCATTGCGAAACTGCGAACGGTATTTCCAACGATAATATTTGTGACAATATTACGGGCATTAATTACAATAATAATAGTAATAATAATAATAATAATAATAATAGTAATAATAATAATAATCAAAATAGTAATAATAATAATAATAATAATAATAATAATAATAATAATAATAAAAATAATAGTAATAAAAAAAATAATTATAGTATTAAAAATAATAATAAAAATAATAATAGTAAAAACAATAATAAAAATAACAATATTATTAATGACAATATGATAACAACAATAATAACATTAATAATAACAATAATAATATTGTTTACGGGCCCGGTCGTACTGGCAACAATAACAAAAATAGCAAAGACCCTAACTTTTTTCGGGGTTGCAGGCACAACTGCTGTTAACTCGTCTGCTGAAACCTTCTCTCAAATGCATTTCAACCGACTTTTTCCATCTAAAGTCCATATGAACAAAAGGTCTTGTGAATCCGACTATAATTGCGACAATTTGGAGGTGATCGCGATTAAAACTGAATTAACTTCTAAAAAACTTCTATTGGTAAATTGTTGTATACCACCAAATTCTAATTCTGATGTATATTTTAATTCAGTTATATTTACAGCTTTGAGGACTTTAATCGTCCCAAAATAGCGGGCACGACACATGACGAGGAACCATTGAACAGTGACCTACCGCACGAGGAGAAAAATAAAAATAAAGCTCAAAATATTCAAAATTATTTCTTTCTGAGTATGACAGCACTAATTACAAAATACAAAAAGATGTGTTAAAAATCTGATAGACATGAAAAACGAAAAATTTATTAACGTCATCGATAAACTCTCAAAATTCGTCAAACTTCTTCGAATAAAATACAAATCTGCACTTAATCTGAGAGATAAATTAACAAAAATTATACATTGCTTTACCGCACCAAGGTTGCTTGTCACAGATAACGAAAAAGATATAGTCAGTCCGATGACGGCAAACTACACAAGAATGTTAAGAATCGAATTATATTGTAAACCAAGTCAAAAAAGTGAAGTAAATGGCACAGTTGAAAGAGGTTACACCACCTTATTCAAAATAATCAGGTGCATTGTCATTGACAGTTATAATAGTAAGATCCATTCTGTAATAAAATTGAAACCTAGTGATGTATTTTTTGGTTGGAGTTAAAAATGCCAATTCGAAAGTTTAATAGAAGATAGAAATTATGTAAATAACGAATTAGTCCATCTTAGGTCACCCATCTGTTCACCAATTGTATGAGGAAATGTCCATTAAGGTAATATTGTTAGTGTAATAAGAATATTACTAATTAATTAAAACAACTAAACGTTGTACTAGTAATTCAGTTAGCCCATCTTATTAAAAGAAATCAAAAAATCGAGGCAAAAAGGGGAAACTTGAAGTGGAACATACCGAAAAAATATAATCCGGGAGAAGGTATATTTGTTGCTATAAAACAAATACAAGTGACCAAGACTATTTTTCTCAAGTTAAAATTATTGATTAGTAGAAATTCATTCATTATTTAATATTCGTATAACATAATAATAATTTAAAAATCTATTTTGAGAGTTACACTCCAGCACACGAGCTGGATGCCAAGTATTTTTAACATTCGATATTCAATAACAGTTATCAAACGGAATAAAGTTAACATGATAAATAGCAATCTGAAGTAACTTCATATAATCAGAATCCAAAGATTCGAAGAAGCACTCCAAAAAATATTTGAATAAAGTCAAAAAGTATCTCGTGATAACTCACTGAAGATTCAGCTAGAATATCAAATAAAAGCGGTATTGAATCCACACTATCAAAACTCAAAAAAGTACATAAAATACCCCAATGGAAGAAACGTGCAACTGAATGGTTAGGCTCCGCATGGAAATGTGTGGTAGGGCCACCAGATTCATCCGACTGGGGCTACATTATAAACATTCAAAATAAACTGATAGACGAGAAAAACCAGCACGAGAGAAAATTACGCCCAGACAATATGTAATCGTATCACCATCTTAAAGAAGAAAATTAAAGAAATCGCTGGAGCAATTTAAATAGTTAAAGTAGCAAATGTAAGCACTAACTTACTTAATAAAAATGAGATATACCACCTAATTGAAGATACTGAAACTCTGCACTACACAAAGGAAATTGAAGTTTAGAATTTCCAACACCAAACATGTTCACAATACTTTCTGTTGTTTTCATCCCAAAAACTGTACAATATACAATATATCGCACTACACAATATAACCACCTCTAAAAATATACATAGAACAACATTACAGTTAGATCCACAACCAACAACAATAAGCCAGTCTACTTCGAATAACAAGAAATCTTGAACTAACTAATCATTTGGATCAGGGGGAGGATGCAGTCTTTTCAAAAAAGTAATCACTTGCAGAAAGAATCAATTGAAGAAGTGAGAAGAAACGCGACTTTTGTAAGTCTTTTATATTTAATTTAAAAAAAAAAACACTTTCTGAACTTAATATATTAAATAAAACACTTCAAAGTTAATTTTTTTATTATTTATTTTATTTCCGAAAATTCAACCGTAAACTTAAGGTATCTAATTATGACTGAATTACAATTAAAATTCTTATATTTAAATTTTACAATTCTTAAGACTAAAATTGCTGATAGCAACAAAACGTGCCAAAAATTGTATTGTGAAAGTTTTGCTGATAGCTAAAAACAAATTTTGTAATTGCTTTCATTTTTATGAGAAAGTTTTATTTCCCACAGAACTTTCAATAACATTAAGTGTTGCGTCATTCATAGCAACTATGTTAATTGTACTAACTGTATTATACGTAACTTCTCCCCCGTTTAGACTTGAATTCTCCTGAATTTTATTAATATCAAATTTTTTAAATTTTCTACATATTGCAAATACTCCAAAACAAATTATTACACTCAGTATTATAATTGTTACAGTTATTAAAATACATGAAACATTTTTATGATAATGCAAAGTTTTTATTTTTTCTACATTGTTAAAATTCTCTAGAACAATTTCATCAAATGTAATTTGTGTTTTGAATTTTTTTAAATTTTCATTACTGTTACTTATAGGATAGTAAAGTCTTTCTTTTAGATTTGGTTTTACATTTGAAAAATAATGGTCCAATACTTTTAATGAGCAATTATAAAAATGAATAAGTACATTTTTATATTGAACAAGATTTCTATTATCAAAAGTTTGCATTTTTTATTAGAATCGTTTCTTTTATAATTGTTTATAAGTTTTATAAGTTACCTTTCGTTTTATTATTGTTTATAATTTTGTAATTATTTTTAAACGTACAATATTTACTCAATTTTAATTCATTTAATGTTTTTGATTCTTCATAATGGTAATTTAAACTATTATACTCCAAAATGGTTTCTGGTACATGATCAATTTCTTTATACAAACTATTTCCTAAAGGAATTATTAATTTTAATTGAATATTTTTAATCTTACTAGGAATTTTAACAGAAAGTAATAATGAATTTTCTTGATATTTAGCTACTCCGAATCTAACATATTGTAATTTATAAAAATCTATATCACAATTTTGGATTTCCTGATTCGTAAGAATATTAGGGTGGAATATACCATGCCTGACTGAATTTGATTAATTTTTTCTTTAATAAGTTGGATTTTAAATTTTAGTTCGATGTAAAAATTATGCTGGATAGTTCGTTTCTCTATTTTGTTAAAGTTTTCTAATAATAAAGTTCGATCATTTTCTATATATCGCCCTAGTTGATTGATTGCACTATTAAGGTGATCATTTACTTTGACTTGTGCATTAGCATTGTAAGTTAACTGGTTGCTAGTGTATGTTAAAGATACTAATTGTGTGTCTATATCTTGTTATCTATAATTGTTTTAATTTTTACAATAAGTTGAGTAATCTCAAACTCTAGTACTGTCCTGTATTTTAAATTTCGGTTTTCTGTAATTTCGGAGACGTTTTGTAAGGTGTCCTAAATTTCTTATATGTTAATAATGTGTACAATAATGTCCGTTTTTGTGACTAAATCTGTTTTGTCCAAATTTATGCTTACAAAGCCAGTTTCTGCTGTTATAGTATTAACGTCCAATGAAGCTAAACTAGGTGTTGTTAGAAGTATGACCATCGTCAATATTTTCCATACCTGAAAATTTGGGAGGTCGTTTAATATTGGATATATGTATATTATCAATTGTAAGCTTTTTGAACTTTGGTTGCTCTTTATGCCTTACAGCTTTATAATTTTTGGTGAAACCGGTCTACCGGTTTCCCCATAATTTTCCGTTTATTTATGACCATTTATTTTTATGAGAAAGTGTCATTTCCCACAGAATTTTGAATAACAGGAAGTGTTGCGTCATTCATAGCAACTGTGTTAACTTTACTAACTGTATTAAATGTAACTCGCGCTGCTTAAATTAATAAGTAACCTTAAAATAACTTTCTCTCTAACACAATGGCTTTTAATCACTATACCTGTACGAACATTTGGCTTACCGTTTGTAACACTAAGGAGTAATGGTCTAAGATATGGACTCAAGCATATGTTTTTGCTTAGCGTCGAATTCTGAGTCAAAGTATCCTTATCTGTCCGTCTGTCTGCCCGTTCGTTAAATTTTTGCAAATAAAATATTATAGTTAATTCCAGAACCCTATTTAAATTGGATATGATCGAAGAACACTGATTTGGGTGGCTGCCATACAATTTTATGTCTATATCTCAGAAATTATAAAAGCTGTAGTATATTAATATTAATATTGATTTGACAATTTGAAAAGTTATTTGGCTATATCTTAAAAAGTGTTCCATCCACAGTACTGAAATTTCGCAAAATAATATGTGGTAAAATGGCAGTTGAAAGAGTAGCATGAGCACTTGTGACAGCTGCTATACAACTCCAAAATTGTTTGGCATTATCTCAGAAATTATTGGACCTGTAATATACACATTTCGTTTCATCAAATCACAGACTGATATTTTCCATAAATTAATATGATAATACGGTCATTTGAAGTCATGTCTACCCATAGTCAAGTATGACATATTTACTCGCACGTAGGATAAAATTTACAAATTTGTACGGGTACTCGTATTATAGAGATGACATGGTCAACTATTTTTTTTCGTATTTCTTATTTTAATACAAAAAATCATATTGCAACACAAATTCAATACTCTAACAAAATCCAAACCGCAAAGTTAAACTTTAGACTACATTTCGAAGTCAGAATTGAAATTGTCCTAAATCAAAAATCAAAATAAATTGTTTGTGTTGAGAATTTGAATAAAAAAAAATTGTAAAATTTGTGAACCACACATTTTCTTTATTGAAAGACCAAAACAAAACCTTTGGTTGAAAATTTTGAGGAAGGTTAACTTGTATTATATACATTCGTTATTTTGGTAAAATATTTTAGGATTCGATAGTGTAAATTTTATGAATGTTATTAAAATATTCAGTTTGTTGAAACTGCGAAATTGTATTCTTCTAAAAATTCTTTCAAAATCGTTTGGCTTGAGTAATAACATAAAATTTTCATTCGAAAAATTACTCATTATATGTCTTTCTATCATGTCGCATTCAAATAAACTAAGCTATACGAAGGACAAACCTAATTTTTTTCTGCTGTTAGTAAATAGCAAGAGAAATCAGTGCATGTGCAAAACTTGTACAACATGCTAAATATTGTTATGGGCTAGGTCGTAGCACTTAATATGTTTTTTATTTGAAAAACCGATGCCCGGCGGATTGGGCCACGAAATATTCGCACTAAGGTACGCTTATAGTAAGAGTTCACTTAAATCCAATGGAAATCCAGATGCGACGGATTCACAATGAGCGACTCACTGGTCTGCGACTGATCTCTGAGGGACGGCAGAAATTATATGTGCTGCCTTGCACGAGGGAATTATTCTCAAAGGCTAGGAAAAGAAAACTCCGAAATAAAACAAACAAATGCAACGAACAAAACACGAGGATTGAATACCCCAGGTGGTAATCCAGTAATGCTGGAAAATCCAAACTATTCGGAGGCTGGTCTCAATCACCAATGGTCTCATGGACCATTGGTGATTGCCGACAAAAATGACAGAGTTAAGGATGAAAACTCTGAGAAAAAGTCCAATAAGTCCAATAAAAAACCAGGAGAGTTATATGAAAGTATCTTATACAGGGGAGTAAATTGGATACTCAAGACTCGAGAATAAGTCAGAGAGTCTTTGCCAGGAGCCACAAAACGAGACCTGCAAATTACAAGCAGAGAATGTAAATTTAAAAAATCAAATAAAATATGCATCAACAGAAAAAAAGAATAAAGATGTGGAATTTGTTGTATATGAAACCGACGAGGAAAAGCTGGTTAGAGAAACTAACTGGATCCTTAAACAGAATAATGCAAAGAAAAGGAAAATAGAAAAATATTCTGAAATAAATTCGGAAAAGACAGTTTAAAAAATTAATGAAATAAAAAAGAAGAAGGTTAAAAATCCAAGGAAGCACAAGGCTCCTCTAGTTATATTGAGTAACATTAAAGACTCCTCATACATAGTTAAGATATTAAATAAAGTTGGGTCAAACCAATGGCTTGTATTGTAGCACTTTTCCCTTCAACAAGTGAAAATTCTGCTTTTAAATACAGTCTATGTATACCTATCACACTATTAAAATTATTTTCATTCATATACAAAACTATTACTAGGATTGCATATATTTAGGATGACCGATTTATGCAGTATTTCAAATAAAGCAAAAATTAATATAAAGTGGGGTTAACATAATGCTCGATTTTAAAGTTTAATTGTGTAAGTTAAGAAAAATAATTATATTTTGTCATAGAATGTCAATTTACTAATGTCATGAAATTTACCGTTAGCTTTTTACGTTTATAGAAATTTGGGAAAGCTTGCGGTTTCGGAAATATAAGGTGTCGAAAATTCGAATTTTACAAATTTCAAGAGGCGAGAACTTGAAAGGGGGTGGAGATGGAAAACAATTTTCTTCTTACAATATGAACTACTTGTTAGTGTCTAAAAGATACTACAATTTCAAGCTCCCACAATCTGGGGTCTAGAAGAAAAACAACATTAAAAATTTGAAAAAAACGGATTTTATGTAACGGTAAATTTTAACGGCCATTTTGTTTTTTTAAAGTTCAAATATAGTATGCCGCTATAGAAGAAGCAAGCCGCTGCCTTTATGCGTTTGCAAAATTTCAAAAATGCTTATGGTTTCATTCATCAAATCGTTAAAAAAGGCCATTTTTAGGGTTTTAGGGGGGTACAACTTCTAGAGGGGGGGAGATAGGTAAAAATTTTGTTCGATGGAAATAAGTTTCCAGTAAAGATTTATGTACGTACTAAATTTCAGCTTTCTATCTTCAAGGGTGTAGATGTTTTGTAAACAAAAAAAGTATCCACGGATGGACTGACGGACGTACGGACGGACGGACGGACAGAGTGAAACTAATAAGCAATTTTTTTTTTGAAAAAATTTTTGGAAAAGTGCTAAAAAAGAAAAACTAAACGTTAGGGTCAACATGATCAATAATGACCAATTAAAAATTAATGTGGGGAATGAAAATGAATACGGACTGCTAACGAAAGCTATAAATAAGGCTAGAGATGAGTGGCACACGTTTGAGAATAAACTGACAGAGGCCAGTTAGTGTTATGCCTAGAAATCTCCAACCATCTTGCGAACCCGAGGATATAAAAAAGAGCTCATTAGCAAAGGTTTTAAATGTCTAGCTGTTTATAATAAAAACAAAAGGGGAAAAAATGGAAAGCATATTTTAATAAAACCTGCGCTCTTTATGTAATTTTTTGACCATTCGGAAGAGATAATCAAAATCTAAAAAATAGAATACTTACAGCATGAGAATAAAAATTGAAGCTCTTAGAAGTAGCAAGTCCATCCCGTAACGCAAAAGATGCCAAAGATTTGGACACACACAAAATTTTTGCCAAAAGACTAGATGAGTAAAATGTGCTGGTGATTATATGATAGCAGAGTCTAATACGAAGGATAGTTTTCAGCCCAAATGTGCGAATTGGAAGTGGAATGAGGCACACCCTGCTAGCTATCAAGGTTGTTTGGAAGATAAAAAAAGAATAAAACCAAACAAAAGTTAAACTTAATGAGCAACAAGCTTCAAAGATATTCAGAATAACAACACCTAGCAAAGTGTTAAAGGGAGTATCATATTCACAAGCGCTTCAAAACAAAGCAGGATATAAGAATAATAAGGAACATGAGAACAAATGATGCATAGTATGTTGATTAGAATTGACGAGTTTTCTAAAGGATTATTACAAATAGAAAATAATTTACATTGAGGTGTATACGGTAATACCAAAGAAATTAAGAAAAGATTTACGTAAGAGAAATACGTATAGTAACTTAGAATGGTAATGGTGATCTAATGGGATTAGAAATTTTTGTCAAAACGAGAATATAATACTGGCCTTAAAATGAAAAGCTATGATTGCTATAAAACGGTACATCCCAGCCATCAGCCGAGAGGAGATATTGCAATGCTAATAAAAAAAAGTATAGAACGTAATGAAGAATTTAAGATAGAAACAACTGAATATTTTTCACTATTTTTCGATAAAAGTTAAATCTACTAACAGTACTTGTGCTGTATACTGTCCATCAAATTGCAGCGTTGAGAAAAATACTATTAAAGATTTCCTGTACAAATATGGACATAGATATCTAATAGGAGGTGACTATAATGTCAAACATACAGATTGGGGTTCTATAATCAACTCTACTGGCACTCCTACTTATTGACCTACTAACACTTACAAGATTCCTGATGTTACTGACTTTTTCATAACCAAAAAAATATCAGAAAACTTTCTAAGCCTTGAAGATAGTTATTACTTTAATTCAGATCATTCTGTTTTCATATTAAAACTAAGTGAAAAAATAACTAGAACATTATTTAAACCCACTTTGACAAATAGCACTACAGATTGGGCGAGCTTTAAATACGAAATAATAAACAATATTGACTTAAATATTAATATACAATCAAGAGAGCAATTAGAACTTGAGTAAGAAGATTTTATGGAAATCATACAAAAAGCTGCATGGAACAACACAAAAATGTCAAAGAACAAACGACAGCAAATAGCTA